TGGTCTCGGGTTAGGTGGTCTTGAACACAACACTGCCTTTACCCAATTTTTACCCTTGAAAATTAGGTAAAGTTACCAATTTTTTTGAACTATCACACTGTCATAAGTTTTATCCCAGGGAATGGTGGGATGGCACTCCTGCTGGTGCTTCTACTCCAGTCCCTTGGTATTCAGCCTCCACCACTATACAGTCCAGAGTTGGCTGGTGGGGGTCCGGTAGGCGATGCCTCCACTCTTCCAACCTGCTCATCTCAGTTCCAAGTCCTGATGGGGATGGAACCTGTCAGTCTACTTCCCTGTTTGCCTGCCATCCCACATTCTTCATCTTCTCACCTGCTCCACATCATTCACTCCATAACTTGCATCTGTTCCATCACCAATATATGATCTAGTCATGTGAGTAGATCTATCTGGGATTCCTTCCATGCCTGTTTTTTATTCCCTCTTCTCAACCAAGCCTTCCGTTTCTAAATTTCTGGCTCTTGCTTTGTCCGTCCTGTAGATGGCGCTCCCTAACATTTCTGGTCAGCAACTCTCGCTATGCAGAACCGTAACTACCACTCTGACAGAGTGGCCATCACAAAGTTCTGATCTCAGAACTAAAACACTGTTTGAGCCTACAAACCTGACCCAGTTTCACCAGAAAGAGACGGACCAAATTCCAGCAAGCCACTGGGAGAAGCAGGTGAAAGGAAACCCCAAACATTGTACAGTTTAAAAAGTAATTGTAGCAAATTCTAAGGAACTGTATGTAAACTTATAAATTTGAGGAAAGTAAAGACAAAAATGTTGCTCTCAAATGGGAGAGAGAATTTGGGATTTAGCTCTGCCTACTCTGATACTTAGAAAACAGAAAATAATTTTGCTCATCCTAACTGACCTGAAAGAGAGGCAGTTCATTCTAATTAACTGTCACAGTGAGACGAAAAAGTTGTCTTTTTGAAGAGTGGATGGAAATATCCTAGTCCAGTTGTTTGACAGAGGGATGGCCTTTACTCCATGAGCATCTGCTCAGAACACACACACAGTATTTCTCCACAGCAGCTGTGACGCCATTCTGTGTTCAAAGAAAGCAGGCTAGGTCTGATTCATGTCCTGCTAAGCAAGTTTTGCTCTTTCTGGTCCCTGAGTCAGAATGAAGGAAGCTGGGGGTGAAAGCCATCCGTAAAACACAAAGAGCCAAAGAAACTGGGACAATGTCAGAAAGATAAGGAGCGTGGTGACTACACAACAACTGAGTCACACGACGCTTGACTAAACCTATTTGATGCTTGTTAAGAAGTGAAGCTGTCAGCATCTAGACCAGCTTCACACTCTGTTGGTAAGACAGGAAAGACAATGAGTTCAGCTGATGACAACCAAACTCCTCTGATGCCGCGCTGCAGTCTCTAATCATAGGTTTCTCTCAAAGCCTGCAAGATTTAATTAGTGTTGCACAAACACTTGACAGGGACTTGAGAAGCTGTGAATGTTGCTCTGACAAATAACACTTATCAGATGTTTGTGCATACATGTGTGTGCGTGTGTGTGTGAGAGTGTGAGACTGTATATGAAAAACCTGCCTGAGTAAGCACCTGTTGGATAATTCAGACTGACAGAGGATTGGACTATAGCAGAGTGGAGGCAATTATTCTGTTAAAGCCTTTCAGTCACTGAAACATAAAGGCCGGTTGGTCGGTTTGAGTGGCTGAGTGAACGTGGTTCAGGGAGTATTAAAATCAAGAGATTCTGCAGAAACATCCTCAGGTCTGTGCTGGTGGAAGTTGAGCTTCTACAGCACAACTGGACTTTTCACACTATCCTTCTGGATGTTAACTTAGTTCTTGGTAAGCAAGTAAATTAATAAATGGCATAATGTAATGTTGTGGTGACTATTTAGTTTTTAATAACCTCTTTTTGTGATGAGACAAAAATATACTTTTTCTTTTGCTGTTTTAGAAAGAGCAGTCCATTTTGACAGTTTTCCATTTCCAGGCCATGTTAAAAACCATTCTAATTCAGGTTTTCAGCAGGTCTTATAATGTCAAATCAAAGGAACTTTCACTTCCATTTTTTGTTTTGGATTCTTTTAAAAATTTAAAAGTTATTACTCTTTTTTTCTTTCAATCTAAATAAATATTTAGATTTATTTAGAGTGAATAAATATCTACATTTTGTAATAAGATGCATATAACACATTATGGTTATATACATCTAAATAATTATAATACTCATATGCATTTAAATAAAGGTTTGTAACCTTTATTTAAAAAAAAAAGGTTGCAGACCTTTATTTTTCAAAAAGGTCTGTAACCTTTATAAAAAATGTTTTTTTTTTTTTTTTACATATTTGTTGAAACTGTCACTATGTGGTGTGTGAAATAAATCAGGTTCATCCAGCTTCTTCTGGTACTATCTAGAAACAACCAACCAAAGTCAGAAGGGGGTCTTAGAGCTGGCAATCAGCCCGTGGATGGTGCTGCTCATCCTTTCCCTCCCATAGACATTGCTTTGCTGCAGCTAGCCCAGCCTGTCATGAATACTGAGGCTAGTTAGCATGGCTACGCTTTTCCTGTAATTGTAAGTTGTTTCTCCACCTTTATCACATTGAGCAGCAAGTACCTAAGGTCGATTGACAGCACTTAGACCCTCCTCCTGGCTCTGATTGGTTGTTTTTGGTCGGGAGTAGTGCATTTCTTCAGATGGCAACAGCAGCAGAGGGAGGTGAAGGAGATCAATCTTTTCTCTTAATATACCATCAAGACGTGGTAACAATTTTGGCAATTATGTAAATTTTTTAATGAAAGTTACATATTGCAGCTTTAAATAAATTGCGTAGGGAAGAAAAACCCTTAAAAGTTAATGACATACAAAGAAATCCTTAGGATCCATAACCCATGGTTTTATATACATACATACATAGACTTGAAACATGATTTTTAAAAACTCATAAAATCAACCCTAGCAAAGTGAATTATTATTATTATTATTATTATTATTATTATTATTATTATTATTAAGATCAATGAGGATTTCTCTGACATCAGATTTGTGATCTAGTTTGTCCTGTTTATGATCTGTGGTCCACCTCTTCAGCTTTTATTTCTTCCCCAGGAGTCTACGCCTTTGGCCTCTTCACGGTTGACATCTTCGTCAATGCAGGGCAGGTAGTGACAGGGAACTTGGCGCCATACTTCCTGACAGTGTGTAAGCCAAACTACACAGCACTCGGGTGTCAACAGGCGCTGCGCTACATCAGCCACCAAGAGGCCTGCACAGGGAATCAAGACGATGTCCTGAGGGCCCGCAAGACCTTTCCCTCAAAGGAGGCTGCTCTCAGCATCTATGCTGCTCTCTATCTGGCTGTGAGTTTATCTTTCTGATCTGTGGGCCAGATTAATCTTACAAGCACTCTGATCAGTTTAGCTGTATATCTACACTGTTTTCTGAAGGTTGCTGGTTCAGTTTTTCTTTCTGTTCGCTGTATTTTTGATTGCTCTGTGAAGGGCCCTCCAGTCATGTGGTTTTGGACTGCCAGTTACTCCCTGCATGGAGTAGAGAGCAGATTGCCTTTGTTATCTTTGTTATGCAATGCCCTGTGTGTAAAGCTATATATATATATATATATATATATATATATATATATATATATATATATATATATATATATATATATAAGGTGTGAATTGAGTGGTTAAGGATGTAATGGATGGCTAGGGCTAGGTTGTAGAAATGAATGGAAGTCAACTCAAAATCCCCACAAAGACAGCTTAAAAAATGTGTGCTCACGCCTATGTGTATAGCTCAGCAAAACTCCGCTCAGGGTGAAAATATATCAGGAACATCAGAGAGATGTTCACTGTTTGAGAAAGCCTCCTTTAGGCATCCATTTGAGTCTGCTAAACTTGTGTCCAGAGCTTGAGGTTTCTGCTCAGACTGCTCTACCACCAGACCAGGCAGTGAAGTACAAGGTCACATCACAGATTACCATGACAATACGGAGAATGACATGAGTTTTAGTGTACTGTGATACGTACTTTCATTTCTCAATTAATTAATATAGATGGATGATAAAGCAGTAAAAATATTTTCAGTCTCTTTCCTGTTCATTTCCTGCAGCAGCAGTGATAAGGATATGTGTGCCATCGATACACTCTGTCATATTTGGCAGGTCTGGGAAATGACAGCTTAAAAGGTGACTGACCCCAGTCTGAGATGGTACACAATGTCTGCTATAATTGAATCTTATTTCAAACAGGCCTATCTAGCTTCAGAGGATTTAACATCACCAAGCAGAGTAGAATCCTGTGCAAGTCTAATCTATCTAATAGGTTTGTGCCTCAGTAAAATGTGTCATGAGTGGAAAGAGGCATCAGTGCAGTGGCTTCTCATTCATTAACACAGTGCTGCCTTTCTGCATCGCCGACATCATCCAGGATGCAACTACTTGCACACGAATGTAGAGCAATAACTGGATATAGCCTGCAGACATTGCTGACGTAAACATCCAGTTTAGGTCAGGAAATCCTTCTGGAGTATTGTACATTTAAGAATCCTTCTGCTGGGATAGACAGTGGTGAGAAAAAGTGTTTGTCCCTGAATCCAGTTGAGATGCAGTGTCATGACCTCCAAATGGTGGTCCACACTTGAAAAGCCTCCAATATGGCTTTATGGCCACAATTTTGCAAAGATGAGTGGATCAGTGGTTCTCTGTAGTGATGCAGAAGGCTCATTGCAACTCATGGCAAATGCTTGATTACAGACGTTACCTCTAAAGGTAACGTCTGTTAGACGTGTTGGGAGACAACCTGTGTAGGGTTTACCTTTATCTCATTTGTGTTTCCTTTGTGAAACATTTACATCTAATTGAAAAAGATAATAAATCCTATGCATCATGGTTTAAGTATAGAAATCCAGTTAGGACTGCTTGCTTCAGGTGGGCGGGGTTCTGTAGAAACTCAGACTTTCTTAAAGAAAACCAAGCAGGCTGTCTTCACAGAAGCTGTTACCATGGTTATATAATTGAAGTTTGATTGCATGTATATACCTCGCTGACTTAACCTGTTGGTCTCAGGTTGTCATTCACAATGACAGGGGTGTCAAACTCCAGTCCTCAAGGGCCGCTGTCCTGCAGTGTTTAGATGTGCCACAGGTAAAAAACAGTGGAATGAAATGGCTTAATTACCTCCTCCCTGTGTAGATCGGTTCTCCTGAGCCTTGCTAGTGACCTAATTATTATTTTCAGGTGTGGTGCAGCAGAGGCACATCTAAAAGTTGCAGGACAGCGGCCCTTGAGGACTGGAGATTGCCACCCCAGGTTAAACAGATTGTTCACAAAAGTTGCTTTGTGGAGTAGGCCCTTGTACTCCCTGTGGGTATTTACATCTCTTCAGAGACCTTTAAACTGTCAGAGTGATGTTTCAAAGAATGCTTTCTATTAATTCATTCTAGGACATTCTATGTCCTTTTATGAAGACATAGAAAATTCAGTTCCTAAGAAAAGAAGAATATTATGTCAAGCCAACAAACAAATATTTTTAACACAAAAACAATGTTTCGTGATGTACACAATCATAGAGATAACTGCTGATTGACAGTAAATCTTCAAGAGGTTATGGCTAAAGAAGCTGGCTGTTCAAAGTACAGTGGCCAAAGAAACAACCCAAGATCTAACCAGCTGTGGCTCATAATACAGCTGGAGAACTGATAGCTTGACACAAGGAAGTACAGAGTTCTGGGGCTGAGTTGGAGTGGATGTCTCCAGACCCAACAAAGGAGCCTATAAAGGGTCATGTCCAAATTGCAGAGCTCGTAGACCGAGAAGAGGAGTTCAGAAAGTCATGACAAACTCTGTAGATTGTGTTAGGGCCACTGATGCCAGGATCTAAGAAGCAGTGGACAAAAGCTAGAAGGCCACAGAAACCCACAAAAAAGCTCTTATGACCGTTAAAGTGCCTGAACTGATTAAGGAGCTTTGGAGGACATCTAGGAGGCTGTGGACACACCATTAGTTGGTTCTTACCAGCTAATGGAGTTTGAAGGTCTGCTGAATGGTTGCCAAATCTGTCATTGCGGCTCTGGAGTTTGATGGAGACAATTCTCTGGATGCAGACCAGCTGACCTTCTTGGGACTCATTAAGAGAATAGGAACTGGAATCAGAAAAGGAACTTCTTTGGCCCTCTTTTGGAAAACTCTAAAAACAAGAAATTAACATCCTCAGCCCCCTTGTCAGAAAGCAGGAAACTTAAACAGAGGCAAACTTGTCAATGCCCCCTTGAGCTCAGGAACAAGAACACAAAGGGAATCCTCTGAAGGCAGAGACATCTGGTCCCAACAGCACAGAAATCAGTTGTTAAGACCTTTGTTTTAGTCAACATTTATTACACTTCGCTAATCCTACTTACTATCTGCAGTGTTGTCCTCACCTCAAACTTCAAAAGCATTTAAAGTTCCAGGATTAACTTTTTACACATATGTAGTTAGATTTCCAGCTAAACCAGGCTGCCACAGAGTTTTTGAACAAGTCGAATAATTATGAGTGTCACAATTTTTAGGTTCAATATATACTTTACATATGCACTACTTCTACAAAACCAGCATAGCTGTAAATGTCACAGCAATAACTCATTAAAGCTTTTGAATTTAATGCTGCGCTGTTCAGACCCTCAGTGCAGACACCTCATCATGCTGGATACTTGAAGTGGTTGACAGTGCTAGGTTCTGTTCATTTATTCATTCAGCTTGTTGTTTATCAATTGTGGGCACTCACACTCACAGGCTGAGAGCAAACAAACTTCTAGCCTGATAGCCATGTGACAGAGGCTGCAGCTTCAGCTTTCTGCTGTTCCCTCTAGGTGACGATGCTTTTAATCTACTTCACATATAGTATTAAAGTGCTTATAACATTACCCTTAAGTATTTCAGAACAGTTTTGGCTTTGTGCTTTTTATGATCTGTATGCATCCTACTAAGTGATTCTAAGCAGTAATCAGATATGACGATGCATAACAATTCTTCTGCATCTACTGAAGCTTGTAAACATTAGTACTTCATCAAGAGGTTTACAGTTGCAACACATAAAAGGCAGCATTAAGCTATTGTTCTGAAGCTGAACAATAGCTTCATATCTCTAACAGAGTATGAATGTCCTATCAAAGAAGTAAATAATCTTTGGTCCCAACATTGTTTATCTGATTTACATCTCTTAAGATGTAGTTATGGTTAGTATCATCAAGGTGTGGCAGACTGAACTCGGCTCTGACTAAGACTAGGTTACCAGGCTGTCAGTCAAAACCTTGAAAGATTAGTTTCTAATTTTTGGGCTGGTAGTAAGCATAGTGATGTAATTATCTATTATTTATGTTTTCATTCAGGCATTTTGAAAAACAACAACAAAAAACATACTAATCTGTCTGCTTTTGAAAAATATGGAAGAGTTTAAAGAGGAAATATGAAGTGGGTCACTAGATTGCTTTAGGAAACATGGACTGTTACCATGACAACTACGTTCTAGATTATGATTTGTTTGGAACGTATTCAGTAATAATGCAAACATCAATATAACCTATGATTGGTGTATATGCAGTAGTATTGAATAAATGTTACTATTACTGAAAAGTAATTTCAGCAACGCGGTTCACTATACGACACATTATATATATTAATTTCACTCAGACTGATGAGACTGTATCTAATAATTATGCTGATTTTCTGCTTACAGCTGATAAAACCACGTCTGTCTGCCTATATGGATCAATCTGAATAATAATAGCGGGATGAAGGGGTTAGGAAAGAGAAAATAGAGATGATTTAAGTGGGCCTTGAAGGAAATTTTGTGCTCAAATGAAGAATTATAAACTGTCCTTAGAGGCTATCTGCTGCTTCAACACAAGAGATTAGTAATTAGAGCCAAAGACAAGCCATATGTGTCTCCCTGCCTCGCTGTCTCTCTGGAGTTGACCCTACTGGCACTAAATCAAGGCCAGACTTGTTATTAACATGCATGTGTGCCATAGTTTCACAATTGTGTTCAAGAAAAAGCTCTAATGATGAATCTGCCTCAGTGATGACACAGGGTTTTGAGACCTGGAAGTGTGTAAAATCACTGCTGCATCTAAAACTGCACAGATTCATAACTTAACATGTTCTAAGAATGATTCAGCTGTAATGAATCCACCATGTTGTATGATTTCTGTTTCTTTTTAAGTTGGTCTGGATTTTTTTATGTTTTTTTCTCCTTTGTGAGTTTTTATTAGATTCTTTAGAATGTTGCCTCCTTGGTTTAACTTTTCTTCTTGAATTTATCTCCTAATCTCAGTTTCACAGATTTTAGCTCTTCTTTTACCTTTTAATTTTAGGTTCTTTATCAGTTTTTTCTCTACTTCTGGTCTGGTGTTGTCTTAACAGTTTCCTGGTGAGGGTGAGGGCGGGGCTTTGCCTTAGCTGCAACAAACTACTCCCATTAACATTTCTGGATCACTCCAAAAATCCTCAACCGTATCCATGTCACTAACACAGCAATCCACAACAACAAAACCTATATTACCACCTGACCAGTAGCACCTTGAGCCACAATGTCACAGTGGCCTGTCCCTCTAACTGCCTAACCAGAATCTAACTTTACTCCCCTGAGCCTCCGAATGTTGAATTGATGGTTTTTATGCACTAAAGGCCAAGATAATGAGCAGAATCAACTGAATAGGGCTGTCATCTCACCCGGTCATGTGTTTCTTCTGGTAGATGTATGTGACCTTCACGGTCCAGGCCAAGGGGACGCGCCTGGCCAAGCCTGTCATGTCTCTGGGGTTCATGTGTCTTGCCTTCCTCACTGGCCTGAACCGTGTGGCGGAATACCGCAACCACTGGTCGGATGTCATCGCAGGTTTTATCATTGGCATGGCCATCGCCACCTTCCTGGTGAGAATCACACATTTTTGTCACTATGGAAACATTTCTGTTTAGGAGAAGCAAAGTCCTCATCCTGACAGTAGCTGGGGAGGGCGGGGGGGCATCCATTACCTCCACACAACACCAGAACTAGTGATGTGTTTCTTAATGTTATAGTTAGAGGACTAGAATACGAGTTGTGAGGAGATTAGACTGTGGTTCAGCTTTTTGTCATTATTCATATTCTAATCCTCATAGATCACTATTTCTCAGTTCTGGTCCTCATAGACTCCTGACCTGCAGGTTTTTGGTGTTTCCTTTCTGCCACACACCTGACTTGAATTAGTGGTTGATTAACAGGCTTCTGCAGCTCTGGATGGCTGCAGAGGAGGTCATGCAATCATTTGAATTAGCTGATCTGGAACAGAGACACATCTCAGACATGCAGGACAGCAGTTCCTGTCACAGCCAGTTAGTCAAGTTAACACAAATACTTTAATATTTGTAGTGCTGTGAAAAAGGACTCCCCCTGTTATTGATATATGTTAAAAATGATTTTATTAGCGGGATTATTCATAATCCTTAATAATATATTTGATAGCTTTATCCTTAATATCAGACAAAATTACCCTGAATAAATTAAAAAAAGTAAACATAAATACTTTAATGATCACAAAAGAAAATGAAATGTTGCATCTCATGATCCAGTTTTCTTCAGAGAGCTGTTGTCGATGGAGATGGCTGTGGACAGGAAAGGTCTCCTATAGCAGTCTGTATTACAGCAATTCTGAAAAAGCCCTGGCTGAACATACTGTTTTTCTATGACAATTTCATGAAGAGGATACATTTTCTTGATTTTACTAAAGTCCTTCTTTGCACCATCATCTCCTGAGGTTCCACAGTCATCCAGAGAACAGAACCTTTCCTGCTACTCTGTGCTGTAGCAAAGTGAAACCTCTGAATCAGCAGCTTCATGGTGTCTGCATCTACTCAATCAAGTGAAAATTGTAGCTTGAACCTCAGAGCCACTTTTTCCATAACCCTGAAGGAGCTCCACTCCTCACAGCACTGGCACCCTGAGGACACAGCCAGCTCAGAGCACCCTCTACTTTTCTGCTGTGTGTTTCTAGTAACCATTGTACTGTCATTGTTTCTGTAGGTGGTGTGTGTCGTTCATAACTTCAAAGGCAAGCTGCTGCTGAATGAGGACTCTCCTGCTGAGCCGCAGCCCAACGCAGCCATACTGAACATGGGTCACCTGGACAGTCCTCTGGAGAAGTACATCGCTTCCCAGGTTGGTGAGCACTTCACACGTCAGGTTTGGCAGAACTGCCCAAGTGAAAAAAAAGTATACTTTAGTATATTTCAAACATACTTAAATTTGTGAAAGTACACTTTAAGTATACTAAGTATTAAGTGTACTACCTATAAGTATATCTGAAGTAAACTAAAAGTATACTTGTACCAATTTCGAAATTAGAACTTTAAACACACTTAAACATAATTGTACCAAAATACACTTTTAATATATTAAATAAAAGTATACTTTAAGTGAGCAAAATATATATTTGCCCAAGTCTAAATATACACTTGCTCAAGTATATTTAAAATATATTTTGTGTATATTTAAAAATATATGCTCAAAATATAATTTCTAAAAGTTCACTTAACACTACTTTAGATTATTAATTTCAGTATGTTTTAAATTACACCTCAGTGTACATTTTAGGCTAATAAAGTATACCTTAATTTTCTTTATTTAACCAGGTGAACCCCATTGAGATCCAGATCTTATTTTCAAGAGGGACCTGGGCAGAAGTCTGCATCACGCAGCAACCTGATTACAAAATAAAACTAATTAATACATATGCAGAAGTATGTTTTTAGGCATCTATAAAGTACTTTTCATGTAATTTTTAGGCATACTTTTTAATTACCTACAAAGTATGTCTTTTTAGGTACCTTAATAATCTTTTACTATTTTTGTTAAAATTGCAAAGAATAAAAAAGTTATAATCATGATGTAATGTTAAAGAAAGTACCCAATCCAGTTTCAGATAAGATCAATAATCAACGGCATTAGCTCCAGTTCACACTCCAGACCAGATGGTGGCGGTATTGCACACTGTCATTAAAAAAAACAAAAAAAAACGCCATAAAGAGAAAAAAAAACTTGAACGCAGGGAAGATAACAGTCACCATAGACATAAGAATAGACGCCTCATTGACCGCTGTCACCTATTGT